TAGGGCCATGTTCCCTCTGAAGATGCTAGTTCCAGGCCTTTCTTCAATTTTTAGGCATTTTTGGCTTGCCTCACCTTCCTATTTTCTTCCTGTGTCTCTTCACGTCATCTTTCATCTGTGTGTGTCTATCTTTCTGTTCAAATTTCTTTACCTTTATAAAGATACTAGTCATATTGGATTAGGGCCTACTCTAAGATCTTATCTTAATCATCTGCAAAGATCTTATTGCCAAATAAGATCACATTTAAAGGTACTTGGATTTTGGACTACAGCATATTTTGGGGGGACACAATTCAATTCATAATAGATAGTAAATTTGAAGGAATTCTTGGTTGACATTTTTCTTCTTCTTTCAGGACTTTAAGTACCTCATCCACTGGCTCCATAGTTTCTGATGAGGAATTGGCTGTTAATCTTATTAATGGTCCCTTGTATGTACTGGATGAGTTGTTTATCTCTTGAGACTTTCTCTTTGTCTTTGGACAGTTTGATTATAATGTATCTCAGTGCAAATCACTTTGAGTTTATTCTACTTGGTACTTTTTGGATGTGTAGATTTATATCTTTTATCAAATTTGGAAAGGTTTTGGCCATTGTTTCTTTAAATATTCTTTCAGCTTTCTTTTCTCTCTTTTCCTTTTTGGACTCTGCATGTTAGTATGCTTGATGGTGTCTCAAAGGTCTCTTAAGGATTTCATTTTTTTCTTTCTGTTCCTCACACTGAATAATCTTAACTGATCTACAAGTTCACCGATTCATTCTTCTGGCTGCTCAATATGATGTTAAGCTATTTTAGTGTATTTTTCATTTTATTTATATTACTTTTCGGCTCCAGAATTTCTGTGTGGTTCCTTTTTATAATTTTTCTTTATTTATATTATCTATTTGTTCGTGAATTGTTCTTCTGGTTTTCTTTAGTTCTTAGCATTTTCAAGACAGTTAACATAAAGATTTTGTCTAGTAAGTCTACTATCTGGGCATCTTCAGGGATGGTTTCTAATTTTTTTTTCTGTGAATGGGTCATACTTTCTTTTCTTTTTCTTTTGCTGCATGGCTTTTAATTCTTTGAAAACTGGGCATTTTGAATATAATGTAGTTACTCTGAAAATCAGATTCTCCTTCCTCCCCAGGTTAGTTGTTGTTGCTTGTTGTGATTTGTTGTCATTTGTATGTTTAGTGACTTTTTCTAAACTATTTATTGAAAAATTGTATTATTACTCTTATGTGATCACTGAAGTTTTTATTTTATTAGCTTAAATGTCAGATGGGGTGACATTTGACAGACATTGCCTTAACTATCTGGAAACAAACAAAAATAGCATTCTTTGCAGATTGGCTCTGTCTTGGGGTACTCCTTCAACACTTGTCCAGGATGTTTTCACTTGATGCTTGTGCAAAGCCTAAAAGTCAGCTAGAGGTGAAAGTTTAGGATCTTTTCAGAGAACGTATTCAGCCCTGGGCATATGCATGGCTTTCTAGATTCCCTGGTATAGGGGGGAGCTTTACAAAGCTCTTATTCTCCTTTCTCAACCTCCTCCTTCCTAAACTTCTGGTCTGTCTACTGCTTGCCTCATGTGTTTTCCCTTGTCTCAGGTAGTTGTGGTTAGTTAGTATATGGGGTGCCCCCCCAAAATGTATGCACAACTTTGAATAATTATAAAGCCATTGTTTATGAAAATACATTTCATTTTCAAAATATAATATAATCTACAAATACCATGTGTACATTTTTGGGGACATGTGGTATTTGCTTTTAAATGGTTTTGACAAATTCTATCCAGGAGTCTACTTCAGTCCTGAGAAAGCTCTGAGAAAGTCCCTGGGCCAACCCCTCAGGGAGCCACTAGACAGGACAAAACACACAACCACAATTCTTTGAGAACAAGATCTGCAATGTTCCCTTTGCCACTGACAAGGAATGTGGCCAGGAATGTGGGCTGTTATTTTCATGGCAACTGAGAGGCTGGAGAGTGAGGGATGGCAGGCATGTAAGTTAAAATGCTGCAACATACTTTTACCAAAATCCAACAGCTGCTTTCTTCATTAAGCATTCCCCTGGTTATTGTAAATTAAAAAAAAATTAGACTCCAGAGTTCTGAAAAAGTTGACAGTTTTGATAGCCTAGTCATTGCTTTAATGGAGGGACAGAACTAAAATTCTTACTCTGCCATTTTTAGTGATGTCACTCATTAAATCTGGATGGTTCTCAGTTATTATCACTTTGAATATTCCCTCTCCTCCATTCTCTTGAGTTTCTTCTCCTGAAACACCTATTAGGCATATGATGGACTTTCTCATTCCATATTGTCTTTCTCAACTTCTTTCATATTTTCTCTTTATCTCTCAGTGCTATGTTCTGGGTAATTTCCCCACATCTTTTAGTTCACTAACTCTCTAGCTTTGTCTGACAAGCTTTTTAACCCATCTATTGACATTTTTATTTCAATAACTATACAAGGTGGGATAAAAGTGGGTTTATAGTTGTGAGTACGCAGAACAAAGAGTTTACTCTTGTAAATTTACTTTTGTCCAACCCTGTATGTTTAATCCTAGACATTATATTTTGTACTTGAAACAAGATCTGTCTAACCCTGGTTGGGTAGCTCATTTGGTTGGAGTGTTGTCCTGAAACACCAAGGTTGTGGGTTCAATCCCTGGTTAGGGCATATATAACAATTAAACAATGAATGCATCCATATGTGGAACAACAAATCAATGTTTTTGTTCTCTCTCTCTCCTTTCCTCAAATTGATAAAAAATTTAAAGACAGATCTGTCTAGTCTGTTCTCATAATGTCTATTCTTTTCTTTATTAATTTTTAATTAAACAATTTTAATGTTGACATAATTGCAGGTGTCCCCCTTCCCTCCCTCCTTTGTCCACCTCCACCCTACCCTTGCCTCCCCCTCCCTTGGCCTTCACCAAACTATTGTCTGTGTCTGTGGGGTATGCATATATATTCTTTAGCTAATTCCTTCACCTTCTTTATCCAGTCACCCCCTCCCCCCCACTCCCCTTGGGCATGGTGTCTATTCTTTTCTTAGGCCTCTTATTTATGTCTTTCATAATTTAAAAAATATTTCCTATTTTCTGAAAGGTCTTAAATTATCTTATATTTTCAGTGTTCTAATCCTCCCATTTGTTATGTTTGCTGATTCTTGATTCTTACTCAGGGGGATTTTAAAATAAAACACTTTGTAGTTTTGAACTGTGAGTTCATTTTTGACAAGGCACCCTCACCCCCCAACCTCATGTCCACCCTGTGAGAATCTCTTCAGGTTTTGATTGTGATTTTTGTATTTGATTCTATCAGGAGTCCCATGGATATCATCAGAATATTAGCAAATTGGGATCAATTTTCATGCTAATTCTCAGGCATTATGTTTTCTAGGCCACATACAATTTCTAGTCTGAAAGTAGTAAAAATTCAAACCAAATCTATAAAGTCCAGGCTCAAGATGTCTGTTTCTCAAGGTAGTCTTTTTGTTTTTTCTACTCAAAGCTCAGACAGAGATGAGCACGTTTTCCAGTTCCTCTGTGTGAGGAAAGGTATCTCCTTGGTACTTTCCCTAAAGGAGTACTGTAGTCTTTGCAGAGTGTTGGCTTTAGGCAGGGCTCTCAGTTCTAAATCCCCACTTTGCTTGGGACCAAGGCCTCATTACCTAACTGGAGAGTGGATGAAAACCCATAGTCTAGGTTCCTAGGGTAACACCTCATGAGGCATTCCCACCCACACTTCGGTGGCTTATTCGATCAATGCTCCTGTTTTCCATTTCTGGATACTGTGTTTTTTCCCTTTCTTTTTTGCCAGCTCAGCCATGCAGTTAAATAGTGCTTACATTTCACCTAGTAGTTTAGGTAAGTTCAGCAGGAGGATTTTCAGTGTTTGTTGTTTTTCATCATGCTAGAACTAAATGTATTTTCTCTCAAGCTCCTTGGCTAGGAACTTGTTCTCTGCCGGTCCCTTTACTTTGTCCTCTACTTATCCCTTTCCCAAGAGTCTTATTTGGCTTTCTTCTACTTTTTCCCTATACTGGAGGTCCTCACATACCTCACTAAGACCTGTGGATCCCTCGACCCTAATAACTTTTAACAAGTTGGCAGGACAGAGTGTAGTTAAGGACTTAGATTCTACTGACAAAGCTTGGTTTGAATCTTTTTTTCTGCCACTTACTGTCTGAGTTACCTGGGGGCAAGTTACTTAGCAATTATGAGCTCATTTTATGTGTAAATTTAGTGAACCAGTGAGCATAGGACTCTGGAGGCATGCTATGAATGTGCAATGCATAAGGAACGTTGGGCCAGGTGGGAGTTAGGTCTATGCTCTGTGATTACACAGGTAATGGGCAGGCATTCAAGTCCATGAGTCCTCAGGCACATCCTCAAGCACTCTACATTTACATCTCAGGAACAACCATGAAAGTGAATATTACTGACCTCATGTTACAGATGAGAATACAGAGGCTAGAAGTGGTTGGTTAAATTGCCCAGTCCTATTTCAATGGACTACTGTGTTAGGCAGAACCTCTCTGGGCAGAACATCCTTTGGGATAGTCATTGGAGATCTAAGGCTGTTTTAGAAGTAATTTTTAAAAAAATTCTCATTCAATTTTACTGATTTATGGGAAGATTGTTTTTCTTTGAATGAGGTACCTTCTGGGTGGTCTCCCAGTCAGATCTCCCAGTGAGCTGGTACAGGCCTTGGAGGAACAGATAGTTGCTACACCTCCCCTCCCTAAAGTACAGCAAACCCTCAGAAGAGCAAAGACCTTGTGGTTTGATCACCAGGTGGGTTAGAGGCTCCTTTCCCAAAGCTGTTTTTTTCCGGAGCCTTTTTCTATCTAAATACAGCTGCCTCTGGCCTCTGGCCTCTGCCTCAGCTCCACCCCAAGGTGCCTGAGCCCATGCCTGGACACAAATGTGGGAGGTGATACAGGTCTCTCTGTTAACACCTGTGAATGTACACCAGCCTCCAGCACTCCCCAGTGCCCCACACTTACAGAAATGGGCCACAGGATGAAGGGCATGTATCTCTGGATGGCGAAGGAGTTGACAATGATGAAGAACACGAAGACTGACAGTTCCATGGTGATGATGAGTGTCAGAAGGGGGTGCACTGCGGTCCCAGTGAACATGACCAGCGCAGCTATTAGGCAGCCCTGCCAGGAGACATGGCAAAGAGCTCTCACCTACTCCTGAGCCACCTCTGGAGCCCTCTGGAACCCACTCCTCCCTCTCTCTGTCCTTGGACCCCCGCCCAGAGATACCAGACCAATTTACCACGCTCAGGATCTTGACCCCGGCATGCCCCATAATCCAGAACTCTTTGTTGCTGTCCTTTAATTCCCATTGGTAGCGGCGACACCCCTTCCTCGTGCCCACTTCATCCTTGGGCTGAAGTGTCTTTACTTGTGGATCATCCTCCTTCTTCGTGTCCTGGGCTTTGCCGGCTGGAGGAGGGACCCCCCCTTTGCCCTTTTTGCCTTTGTCTGCCATATTTCATGGGCCTTTTCAGCTTCTCACCGCCTGCCCAATTTCTTGTGCTGTTCCTGGACAGGCCTGGCCTTTGAGCCAGCCAGGTGCCAACCGACTTGCTCAGAGGCCACACACAGCCAACGGTCAAGACCAGCGAAGCCAACGCTTGGCACCCTCTTCGCGCGCGCCCCTTTTCACCGCGCGAATGTCACCCCTGCACAGGGTTGGCCTACCTCACAACTAGCGAGAACCCTGCAGCCGCCGAGTTGGCCCAACCCCCACGCAGGAGCCCCCGCCCCACCTCTGCCTGGAGCTCCCCTTACGGTCAAGCGGTCAAGCGTGGCCTCGAAAGGTTGGCCCCAGGCATGGGTTGGCTGGAACTAGGGCCGGGTCAAGGGCCTCCCCGTGGCTTCTTGAGACAGCTAGGCCCTGTGCAGGAAAATGTAACTCAATTTTTACATAAGGCAACACGTGGAAGCAGAAGTTATCCCGACTTAGCAGCCCCGATTTTATGATCACATGTAGGCCGAAATGGATGACAACATGTGAGCTCAGTGGTGGGAGGGGTGGGAAGGAGGAGCAGCCGCTTTTGCCCTTGAGATTGTTCGTGATGGTGCCCTCGAGGATGTCCGCGAAGGTGCCACTGTGGATGCCGGAGAGGATGCAGGGATGAGCTCATTCTCGTATTCTGGATTGGGTTTCTGGTCTGGTTTTGCAGAGGCTGGGTAGGGACTGGTTTCAACTTGAATTCCCAGGACTCTTTTCATGTTATTCCTCATCATCTTGGTGACCAGACTTGCATCGACCATACACACAATTGCCGCGGTGAGACACAGGGACTGTTAGACACAAGACCATGTGCGGGAGAGAAAGATGGGGTTATTTTGCAGCTCAGGAGCAACCTGTCTTCCTCATCCCCGTCCCAGGATGCAGGTGGCCTTTTGTCCCTCTCTGACTCTCCACTACCTGCTGTGACCCTTTCTGCCATTCCCAGAGAAAGGAATTTTGGAAATGGTGGGTTTTGCTGCTGCTAATGACCTCACCTGATTCCTGAGGCACCAGGAAAAGACCAGAGAATGGCACTGAATTTAGGAGGCTCCAGGTGGGATTGGGATCCTGAGATGGCCCTTTGTGGACAGAACACTTGGACTATGTTTGAAAGGGCAGGAAGGAGTTTCCAAGGGGACCAGCTGGGAGGAGGAGACCTCCAGGTACTGGACTGAGGTCTCCAAGGAATCTGGTGTGGCTGAGACCTCTAGAGCTATTGAGGGAGGTAGAAGAGTTGAGGCTGGGAGGTGCAGGATCTGGGACTTTATCAAGAGGAGAGGTCACATGTCAGATTCAGAAAGCTCTCTTGCTCAATGGAGAGGTGACTAGAGAGTGAACCAGGCTGGAGGCAGGGGAACCAGTAAGAGGTGGAAGGTAATAATCGAGGGAGACCAAGAGGTGGGAGCCGTTGGCAGGTAGGAGAAGACTTGGTGGCTGAGTTAGCAGATAGGGGCCAGCTTCTGTCTGCCTTGGATGTTTCTCTTTCTGGTCACTTAATCTCTGGCTGCTTAAATGAACTTTTTCTAGGTAGGTCTTGCCCCATCTAATCTGTGAGCTCGCTTGGGGGAAAGGACTCTACCCCGAACACTGAGTTTAGGCCTGGCACAATCCAATGGGATTTACAAATATTTACTGATCATGGAATGAATTCAAAGAACTGAAAGTTTGTTTTCTGGATTAATTTCTGTTCCCATTGCTTAACCTCTTGAACCAAAGTCTCACCTCCCCAGTCCCCATCCCCCGGTTTTCCAAGCATTTAATCTGCCATATTTTGTGCTCTTCATATGAGGATCTGAGTCCCATTTTATCCCAGCCTTGTGACCCAGGGCAAGGTATTTAACACCACATCTGCAAAAATGAGAGTTGTAAAGATTAAATCAAAACATGCCATGCCTTGTGTGGGGCATCTGCTGGGAACTTTATTCCTTCCTTCTTGAATAGGCTGGGTCACTCACTTTTGACAATGCCCCCTCGTTGCCCCCATCATTCTTTTCATGTACTTTTAAAATATTCTCTAGTCTAGAAAAGTCAAAGTCCTATTTATAGACAAGAATATTTTGTTGCAACAGTTCAAAAAGTATGTATACAATTCTCAAAAGGGGATCAACAGACTTGTTTTTGTCCCTATTTGGAGAATGAGTATTAGAATGAAGATTTTCATGAGCTTAGAGTTTGTGTAACTTCACATTTTCTGAACTTGCTAGTGCAGGAAAGAGGAGCGTGCTGAGGATGTTGTTTTGTAAATGAAATAATGAAGGTCTGCCAGTTTCCTTTTTAAAATCTTGAAATACTCATATAAAATGGGATCATGAAGTCTTCCCTCCAGTGCAGCCTCAGCCAGATTTCAGCTGAGCCTATGCACCCAGCAGAATAGAGTGATTCTGTCCCACCTGCTCATCACCACTTTGCACTCTGATCTTAATATATTAAGTGGAGTGTAAATCATTTTATTGTCCAAGAACTACAGCTCTGAGTTTCCAAACCACTAATTAGTGTACATTCGTAATTGAAGAAAAATGGCGAAGGAGTGTATGAAAGCTACACAGACCGTCTCCCAGGACCAAACTGGAATTACAACTAAAATAAAGACAAATCTTGAGGAAAAACCAACTGAAAAGAAGTTGGAGAGAACCCTCATATCCAGGGATGGAAGGAGGACACCAAATTCAGCCTGGTAGAAACTGGAGGCATGAAAGGGTGGGCTGGGAGCCTACGAACAGCAGCTGAGGGCTGTTTTAGCTGTGAGCAGTTCCCTCTGAGAAGTCAGTGGTTACTACCCCAAGCCAGCTCCCCAGCACAGAGAGGCAGCCCCTCCAGCACAAAGTTGCGGGACAGGGAAAGGTGCTCACATAACACCTGGATGAGATCATCAGAGCTGAGGCTTTGTCTGGCAAAGAGAGGTGCAGGGGAAAACAGCACCTCCCTGAAGGAACAGAGCACTAAATCGGCTACAGCCACTTACCTTGGGCTCTGGCAGAGGGAGGGTGGACTGGACTGGAACTGTGTGAATAGAGTTGGGGCTTTGTGGCACAGGGGAGAGAGCTGGGAAGGAGGGCCCTGGGAGTTTTATGTTGAGTCACTTCCTCATAGGACAGTAGCCGTATTACTCAAAGAGCCCCTTTCCAGTGCCCTGGGAAAACACCGGCCCTTCCCTCAGGAATTTAATACTATCAGGCCAGGTGAGAGAAATTCAAATTGAGGCTCATTAACAGCTAGAGACTACCAGCAAGCAAGGAGGGGGAAAAAGCCATTGCCCCCCCCCCCCACTGGAAATCCTCTTATTCTGTACACCTGAGGGATTTTTCATTCAGCTGAGGGTTACAACCCAAGGCTCATCAAGTAACTGAGACTAATAGCCTGCAGGCAAAAGCTAGAGGATAACTGAACATTTGCTTGGCCAGCAGACCTACATAGGAAAGTAAGACTTGACAGTGGTGTTTAATGTGGGTCCTACCACACTCATCTAAACCCAGTAGAAGGAGCCACAATCAGCAGAACACCAACACCCAAAGAGAAAATTTGGCAGGCTCCAAAACTTACTGAGATAGCCTAAATGGTGAAACAAAGAAACAAATCCCAACTAGAAGAACAAGGGAATTCTACAGAAGAAGAGATAAGTGAAATGGAATTAAGCCAATTTTTAGAGATAGAGTTCAGAGTAATGCTTATGAGGAAGCTCAACAGCATGAGTAAAGAGCTCAACAGCATGAGTAACAATATAGAAACATTGAAAATCAACCAACTGGCAATGAAAAACAACCAAATGGAAATGAAGAATGACATAGCAGAAATAAAGAATACACTGGAAGGAATAACCAGTAGAGTTGAGAAAACCGAGGGTCAGATCAGTGAATTAGAAGACAGAGTAGGAAAAAAAATCACCCAACCAGAGAACCAAAACAAAAAAACAATTAAAAAACAGGAAAACAGCTTAAGGGAACTGTGGGACAATATGAAGTGTAACATGGTTTGCATCATAGGGTTACAGAAGAAGAAGAAAATGAGCAAGGGTTAGAGAATATATTTGAAGAAAGACTGACAGAAAACTTCCCTAATTTGGTGAAGGAAAAAGGCATTCAAGTTCAAGAAGCACAGAGAGCCCCAAGTAAGAAGAACCCAAAGAAGCCTACACCAAGACACATAATAATTAAAATGCTAAAAATTTAAGACAAAGAGAGAATCCTAAAGGCAACAAGAAATAAGCAACAGGTTACCTTCAGAGGAACCCCCATAAGGCTCTCAGCTGACTTCTCAACAGAAACACTACAGGCCAGAAGGGAATGGCATGAAGTCATCAAGGTCATGAAAAACAAGGATCTGATTCCAAGACTACTGTATCCAGCAAGGCTATCATTCAAAATAGAAGGTCAAATAAAGAGCTTCCCAGACAAAAAAAGCTAAGGGAATATATTAGCACCAAACCAGCACTGCAAGAAATGTTAAAAGGACGGCTGTAAGAAGCAAAAAAAAAATCAGAAGAGAAACATAACCATAATAAACAAAAATGGCAATAAATAAGTACATATCAATAATGACCTTAAATGTAAATGGATTAAACACTCTGATTATAAGATTCAGAGTAGCTGAATGGATAAGAACGCATTATATATATATATATTATATATATATATATATAATATATATATATATATAATATATAATATATATATTATATATAGTTTACAAGAGACCCACCTTGCAATAAAAGAATAGAAAAAAATTTACCAAGCAAAAGGAAAGGAAAAAAAAGGCTGGGGTAGCAATACTCATATCCAACAAAATAGACTTCAGAATGAAGGCCATAACTAGAGACAAAGAAGGCCACTACATAATATTGAGAGGATCTATCCAACAGGAGGATATAACTTTGGTAAACATATATGCCCCCAATGTAGGAGCACCAAAATATATTAAAAAACTTCTGGAGAACTTCAAAGGAAAAAATCAATACTAATACAATCATAACAGGGGACTTCAACACTCCACTGACATCACTGGATAGATACTCTAGACAACAATTAACAACGAGACAGAGACTCTAGCAGGAACCAAACCCGGGTCTCTCTGGATCACAGGCTGACACTCTAACCACTGAGCAAAACCAGCCAGGGTGAAACAGAGACTCTAAATGATGCACTAGATCAAATAGATTTAATAGATATCTATAGAGAATTACACCCCAAAACTGTAGAATTCACATTCTTCTCAAGTGCACATGGGACATTCTCAAAGATAGACCACATATTAGGACACAAACCAAGTCTCTACAAGTTCAAGAAGATTGAAATCATATCAAGCATCTTTTCAGATCACAATGGCATGAAACTATAAATCAATTACAACAAAAACACATAAAAACATTTAAACACATGGAGGCTAAATTGCATGTTATTAGACAATAAGTGGGTTCCCAAGGAGATCAAGGAAGAAATAAAAAACTTCCTGGAAACCAATGAAAATGAACACACAACAACACAAAATCTATGGGACACAGCAAAAGCAGTCCTGAGAGAGAAGTTTATAGCACTACAAGCCTACCTTAAGAAACAAAAAACATTTCTAATTATCTAACCCCACAACTTAAAGAACTGGAAAGTAAACAAAAATAAAAACCCAGAGCAAGTAGAAGGAAGGAAATAGTAAATGTCAGAGCAGAAATGAATGACATAGAGACTAAAAAAACAATTCAAAAAATTAATGAAACAAAGAGCTGGTTCTTTGAAAAGATAAACAAGATTGATGGACCCTTATCTAGACTCATCAAGAAACAAAGAGAGAGAGCCCAAATACA